ACAGAAAGTGGAAGGAGCAAGCCTCACTATAGGTAAACCGCCTTCGTGATCACGGTAATCCCCAAGATAAACAAGTTGAAACCTAGGTTTAGGATTAGGTTCATACCCATTAGGCTGTGGCTACCACTTCCCTATATCTTCACTTATTTCACATATAGATACACTCCCTGAGTTATTGCTTTTATATAAAAAAAAAAAAAAAAAATAAACAAATAGGGCCGATCAAATTTTATAGAGTTCTTCCTGAGTTCCTCAAAAAGCACTTAAAGCTTTTGCAAGAAGAGTTACAAAATTTGGATATTCGTGTAGTAAGCCAGCTTGGGATTCTACAAGTGTTCACATCTCATTCATATTTTTATGCCCTACATCGCTTGTGATAAAGCATCTGTTACATTTATGCGGAGGTATATCCAACTTTTATTATACCGATGGACGCAGAGTCATTGTGGGAATTGATTTACGCCTGTCCGTCCGTTTTGTTCAACCTAGAGGTCTCAATTTTTGGGGCATTATAATGAAATTTGGTAGACTGTCGTGTTTTGGTTCAAGAATGAAAGCGGATAGACTTCCCGTTTGTTGTACCGATCGATTGAGAAAGTGATTCTAAGCTTGTCTGCCCGTCTGTTGTATGCCCATGTATTCTTGGGTTCGATATGTAGGTCGCAAATTTTGATGAAATTTCATACACTGACACGCTTCGGCTCAAGGACGAACCTTATTTCGTCCAACCACTTAGCCCCACATAGCGTCTTATTTTGAAAAGTAATTATATGAACAATTCTAGGATGGTGTGAGATATTTAAACACAGTCCGTACCTCACTCCATTGTTTTGATTTGCTTTACTCTACCCAATGTTTGGTATCTTATCATCTTGTCTTTAAATGCTTACTAAACACAGCACATCGTCAATAGATTAGTGAAATCGTCTATCATTCTATGCATGGAGCCATAAAGCAATGTCTTAATGTTTACATCTCTTACACGAAATTCTGACGTCTCTTACTCAAGTTATTTTCTTCTTAGTTAACGTCAGCAACCGTATATAGCTTATGAGCTTAGAAGATCAATTACAAGCCTTACTAGAACATGTAGGCGCGCGAAGAATTTTGTGACAATATTTAAATTTTAAATTATTTAAAGTAAAATTTTTCATTATTCATTTTATGAGTGAGTTATTAAATTTATTGAAAATAATATTCGCTTATTTTAATGGATTTATTTAATCAAGTTAATTAAGAGCATACATCAACAACTGATTGAAAGAATGAAAATATTTTTTTTAACATCGCAATTATTTCATTCTTTCGCCATATTTATATTGCACGTAGTTTCACTCTACTATTTTAATTATGCAAACAAAGAAGATATGTATTATGCCTTTAGCGATTGTTACGAGGATTTTGTAACCCACGCTACCTATGGCACGCAGGTATATCAAGTTAGCGTGCATGTATTGCACGCTTAGAAGTAGTTGAGATAGACTCAGGTTTTATTCTATCGATCGAATCATGATCAATTTTGGAATCGACCTAAGCATGGGCGTCCATCTGCCCGTCTTTTTTTCTTACTACCTGTAGTAAGTTTTGAGATATTTTAATGGTATTTGAAATATTGACTTGTTCTGGCCGAGGGATGAACTCTGTTCAAAATGCTTCGGATCGGATGACTTATTCTTACCATTGTAAAAAGTTATGCTAAGCTATTTTAGACTAGTATCTCTTATTAATATCTTTAAAATTTCTTTAATTAATTTCCCTCAGTGTTATTAGGGTTTCGAGCGTCTCACGGATCGCAATAGTTATTTACTATGCAATTATTACAAGTTTCTGTATAACACTACGCCAAGTTTTTTACATATGTTTTATTTTGTTTTATGCACTGGCTTCTTACACCTTCACTACTTTACTTATGCTCATACGCTGTAACTTTGCCAAAACGTGCCTAAGCGTACCCTTATGTGCAGACAGTGCTACGTTGGATCTATACTGATAAGTAAAGCTGCGCTGAGACAAAGTCAGCAAATGCCAACGCAGTCGTTGTTGAATGTGTTGATATTTTGCATAATGAACCTTCAAGGCATAATGAACTTTTTAATTATGATAGCGCTATTATTACAATATTCGCTATGTAGTGTGCATGCCCTCCATGTTGAATGACCATGGCCACCAGACAAGGGGATTATTAATATATTCGTGCATAGTGCTGGATGCGTAAATGTCTAAGATTCAGGGAATACAATATTCATTTACTCATGCTTTTTTTTACATAAATGTGGCTTTTATTGCAATTAATAAAGCGTGTGTGACTTTTTCTTTTATATTTTATCAGACTGAGACAAACAATCCGGACGATAAGGTTTTTGAAAAATGGTTCGGATTGGATCACTCTGTTGACCACTTGCCCTTTAAGGCCTTATCTTTGGAAATCGCTATATTTATAATTATATGATGGTAAAGGGTATCTAATGGGAGGCCATGGTCCGCTATAGGGCTTTTACTTGTCTCATTTAATTATATATAGCCAACATTTTATTATATATAAGTAAACTTACTCGGGCGGTTTAAAAATGTAGTAGCAAAGATACACAAATTTCCGATTCCTACCTTTATTTTTACAAGTATGGCATGTCAATATAAATAGGGAATGAGAATGATCCATTTTAATAGCACTCGGTATATGCAAAAGTCTAGTGTTAAATACCGAAGAATGTTATAGAAACAGTTTTCTTAAAAGCAATTTTTCTCAGTATTGACGAATTCGCAACGTATAGATAAGTGAATCTGTTAGTCTTTCGAAGGAATTAGTTTTTCGTTTCGTCTTCTGCTATATTATTTAATTTATAATCCCGATATATATATATATATATATATATAAATATATTTATATACTAAATAATCGTGCAAGGTAAAGAAAGAAAAACGATTCCCGAGTGTTGTTATATAACAAAAGCGAAGCCTATTAGCGAGGGAAAAAAGAAAAACTAAAATTTGTAAATATAAAGTAAAAGTCGTATGAAAATACACAAATGATTCCCACTGTGATGATGATTTTGACAAAGGCTTGCGTACGTGTATGAAAAGTTTTCCATGCACTCTTATTACAAATCATTATTTCATTATGCACTCAGCGGGTATTCATTGCTTGCGGCCTATGATATTCAACATCACGCGTTGCTAAGCGTTAACATATCTTTACCACAAACTCGAAAACGTTAGCTAACAATGAATGAATTCTTTTTTATTTTACGTTAATCCGTATATACGAATCGTCTTGTTTCCTTAGCTTTGTTACGCAAGCACTTAAGGGAGAAACTTTTATTTGTTGCTGTGATCTCCCTGCAGGTGAATTAAGTGTGCAAATAAAGAAGAAGAAAATTTCAAAAATTATAAAATTTTATACCCGAATTAATATTTCTTCACAGAACACAGTTGGTTGTGCGCGCATGAGAGAAGAGATCCTTTATTACACCCGCCGTAGTAATGTTAAGTCGTATGCATTTTTTCTACCGTCCATTTATTCATTGCCTTTATTCTCCCAAGGCAATGGGGAAGTTGTCTGTCTTGTATGGCATCATGTAAATGAAAGTGTATAAGTAAAGGTGAAGGGTAAAATAGAGTGAAGTAAGGACTGTGCTTAAAATTAAAAATTTTGTTAATACTCGAAGAGAACATTATCGGTTAAATTTTAAATATAACAATATTGATGCGTGCATTTCGAAAATATAATTTATCTTATACGATTTTAAGAACCTGAGGGAAAAACCGGAACTTTCTTCAGTTTTATTTGTTAGCTCGATTTTTTTTTTTTTGGCTATGAATACCAGAAGCGGGAGCACAGTTAAGTTGCAGATGGAGATTGCTTTCATTTTGAGAAAACAAGTTTACAATAAAAAGCAACACCAAGTTATATAAAAGGTAGATTTTCACATCTGGAGATTTTGCTACAAAATACTTTTTGCTGTGTGGTTATCTGAAATATTCTTTATATTTAATTCACATTAGTAGAGTGTGCATTGACCGTATCGTAAACTGTTTTTATTAAACACAACTACAGACACAACTCAGTGCAGAGAATCACAAGCGATTCCCTAAAATGGAATTCTCCGCGCAACGTTTCTTTTGGCGTTTCTACGGCTGACCTGGAATAACTTAAGCATAATCTTTCGAAACAAGCCTGGAATATCCGCCAACTTCCTTTCCCCTTTTTTATTCGCAGTCATGGAGTTTCCGCTAATTCCTCTACCTGTTGTCTTTAAATAATTTTTTGTTACCCAAAGAATTTTCGTTGAATCTTATACGTACGTAAGATAACTTTGTTCAATTTTTATTAGCTATTATTTATTGCACATTATTATTATTAGTAAACACGTGGACATACAACACAAATAATTGTGAATAATCGATCGGTATAATAAAAGGTGAGAGCATCTTAACTCCTTTAGCTGCACAAAATAAATTGTCCTTGCACCACACGGTGTCGGTTGACTTACTCCCAAATATCTATTATACATGCAAATATTTGTAAAAATCACACTATCTTCGTATAACTGTTCCAGAATCAATTTCTTGTCGCCTTTTATTTCTCAATTAAGTATCTTTCGAGAATTTTCCCTGAAAAGATTTTCCTTCGAAAAGAAAAGTTAACAACGAATCATACATATTTGAGACACTATCTCTTACTCTTAAAACAAAGTCAATTTTATTGCTGCTTAGTTGGCCGTTATTGACAAAATCATTTGAACTCTCTCGTAGTTAAAAATGGATGGATTTTTGTTACTTTTTAAAAATTTTTATTACACATAAATATGGCTGGCGCGTATTCATTTTAACTTGACATACTTGGAACGTTACTTAAAAAGTCTGATAACAAAAAATTATTCAAAATAATTTCGTAGAATAACTGTAATGAAAATTGAATGAGAAAAAAAGTGCTTAAGAAAAGAATTCTTAATAATATCTGCTATCCACGCCCATGTATACAGCTTTATATCGGTTATTTTTTATTCCTTCGGAATTGTCTCCAGTACATCGCGATCTCCATTTTTTAAACGGAGTAGAACATTCAAATACGTATACGTTCGTGTCAATTTTTCTTTAATTTTCATGTTCTCCTCATAATCTGTTTTATATTCTTCTTCAATTACGATTTGTTTTAATTTTGTCATCTTACGGGTTATGCGGCATGATTCTGTGTTCTTATTCCGTCTCTCTTGTTCTTTCGCTGACCGTTCTTTAGTTGGAAATTTTCTTTTCATTCTTTCTTGGTGTTCACAGATCTTTTTTAAGGTTTCCTCCTCTATTGTAGGTGGATTAGTTACTGCCTTTGAAGATAACGAACACTTGCGAAATCTTTTTAATGCTGGCATCGGCAATTCATCGCAAGAACTTAACTCCTGGTCAAGTTTTTCCTTAACCTTTACATAAGTTTCCAAGCTAATTTGATTTGAATCCTTCGATTCACAAAGTCGTTTTTTGCGTTTGTCTTGCAGACTTTCATTCATTACACTTTCCCCATGTGTTTTCGCGTCATCCGCCGTAGAAATCCCAATCGGTGACGGTGCAGGCGAGGATTTTTTGTGTATATCGAATTTTTTATGACGATACTGTGCTTCTGGCACAAGTGGTTCGCTGGCACAAGATTGCATTTTGATGATTAAAATTGAATAGAATCGATGATAAACGTTCACGTTGCTATTTGTAAAATGACTGTGAATCTCTAAGATGTGCGGAGTGGCTTTAAATTTCGAACAATGCTATAATAAATAATACCTGCACATCGTGAAGTGTTATTTCAAAAATTGTTGAAAGGGAATTCTCCTGGACACAACGCTTTGAGAAATTACACTAAACACCATTAGTATGCCTTTCTTAAAACAGGTGTCTTTGATTAAATATGTTCTTAGAAAATTTATACCTGATTGAAGAGTACAGATCGATATCGATATCAAAATCGTGGATTTCTACTACATTATCACATAATCAACAATATCTATTTTACATATATTTATGTTCTCTCAACAGTTTTTTCTCTTACTGCATAAGTGAAGTAAATCCTTTGTTATTCTCCCGGGTCTTAAGGAATTTTGGAAGTTTGAACTACACGTGCGACTACGATAAGATGATTTGAGACAACATTGCTTGTAATTAAAACGCAAGCTCTTGGTGACTGGCTGAGGCCATTAAGATCTAGTGGCATTCTTACTTTTCTCCTGAAAAAGTTGATAAATTTTCGAAGATCTTTGTGTATATGTAGTCCTGTTATGAACTTTTTCTAAGGTAAACAACATCCTACATCATATCCATTAAAAAAATAAAAGGTTTTTCGTACTCAGCAAATTTTTTATCGATGTAAAATAAAGGAAACGTAATAAGTTAGTTCTTCGGTCCATTGGGAAAATTTGCTTGAGGGAAAAAGATACTCAAGTTTGAAAATCAGTTAAATTAAACTGACCATTCGCTTAATGGGCAAAAACTTTTCAAAATGTTAACCTATCACATAAATGTAGGGAATTAAAATTCGCAGCAATTTTGACCGACTTAACGAAAAATCGAAGTACCTGTGTGTGTTAAAATTTGGTTTCTGGTAGAACATAATACTTACCTGTATCATTGTTTTTCTGAATTTTTCAAGGTGAAAACTTTGTGCAGTAGGGTGCGTTAATATATAATTAAATTGAGTAATTTTCTATTTCAGTGAAGAACGATAGAGAAAATGCAAAGCAGCGCACTAATCAGGGTTGAATTTTTCGATGGTTTTTGCTTCATGTATGCACAAGACGTGCGAGAGACGCTCTCTCAAAACTATAGCGCAAAGTACACTATATTCATTTCCTCAATCAATCACAAAAGAATGAATGTATTACGTTGTGTAACAACGCAGTTATGTGTTATTGGTATAGCAACAGAAGACCTTAATTGGCATGGACTTTGATGTTGGTTGAATGTAATACTTTGTTTCCATGCCCAAATTGACGCCTTAATTCACAATTATTTATTAATTAATTACATAATGTTAGCCATTAAAACTTGTTAGCAAAATTATATGAAAATGATAATTAATTTTAATTGTTATTTATGTTTACCTCATAGTTATATAGATCAGGTACGTTTTTCCCTTTCTCTTAGAATTTTAATTCGATAAAATTTATGAAATTCTTAATTAAATTATAATAAATTAAAGCATTTCTCCGCTTGTTTGTACAAAGAAATGTTTCACTTTTTATTTAGAAATTTCACGCTTATTTTAGTATTCGGTCAATTAATCATTCGTGTCATTGGTTTGCTTTATATGTTCTGCATCAACAATTTTCGTTGCGGAAGTTGGCTATCGTTAATGTTAGTTTTGCTGCAGAAGCAATCATTTTGCTTTCTTTTATTAAAAGGAACAACAATTTTTGTTTTTGTTGTATTTAAAATGCAAAATACAATCCAGCATAGCCAGGCAAGAACACATTACATAAGAGACAAAAAATAGTTTTACTTAGTATACGCATGCTAGTCGGCATAATCTAAGAAAGATATAATGAGTGTAGTTTGTGTATATATAATGAGTGTAGTAGTCAGTAGATTGTTAAATGGATACTGCGTGCAGTAGAGCAGCGTCCCTTAGAAGTTTAGGTAAATCATTTATAATTTTAGTATAACCACTTAATGGACAAACAATGGAAATATTTCAAGTAAAGTAAAATATGCGATAACAGATCCACAACAAGATCACGAATGGAATTTCCTTGCTCTCTTGAACTCTGCCTTGCTTGTTAAAAAAAAAAAAAAAATACGATAAATTTTGGATCCGATTTGAGAGAGAGGAGGAGAGAGAGGAAACGCTTTTCATTCTGGTGACCGCAAGAGCAGATTTATTTTTACATTCTCCGGAGATAGAATGAGAATACACCGTAGATTTGTCCTTCCGTTTATAACATACAGAAATAAGCATGAGAGAACCAACAAAGTGTACATACTCTTGACTCTTGACCGATTTATCCATCTCGGTCAGACTGTTCAGCTTGCCTATTTGTCGCCGTTTCGTAAAATGCCTTAAGTCACACAAATTGAGATAGACAGTTTAAATTATATGTATACGCGATCTTAGATCGAGTCTTAAAACAAACTTTTTCCATCAACAAACACTTTTATTAGGCATGGGCAATAGATGGTCTGGGGGAAGCATTCGGCCCGTAATATCGCTGCATCCGGCAAATGTGAACTGTGTTTAACTGCTTTCTGGTTGTTCGTTAAAATGGACGATTTAGATAGAAGAGAAATTGGTGAAGAATGCCGTGCATATTAATAGTAGTTGGGCCTTGAAATATGTAAAAACGAATAGAAAAGATAAAGCTGTAAACAGATGAATAACTAGAAGCAGTTCCTCGAAAAGCTGCTAACGAATTACGTCCTAACTACGACAAAATAACAAATCGGGAACATTACCAATTTAATCCATCAAAGCGAAATCGGCGCAATAAAGTTACTATACTCATTTTGTTACATGATCAATAATAAAAATGTTTTAAAATTTTCATCTCTCTGCTAATGGATCAACTCTGTTCTGCCCGTTGATGAAAAGACCCCCTCATATATACGATAGGCAAATCTATCTAAAACTAATCCATACAACATACAGATTAAAGGCACATACAAATATCCTTTAAAACTCTAGTAAAGAAATAGGCGCGATACATACATAAATAACCCTATGAGAGACAAAAACTGCAACTGGAAGAAATATTAATTTAAAGCCGCTTACATATCTTTCTTGTAGCTAGCCTCCTTGGTCCTTATAACCAAAATGCTTTGCAATTGGAAAGGGATGGGTGTCAAAGATTTTCCCAAACGCTAATATAACATGGCAGATTGTTACGTACAGTTAAAAGTTCTTGCGGCAGTTGTACCGCTTTGAGTTAATCACAAGTTACACACACGTCGTTAATAATTCCTCGGTCTAAAGTAGAAAGTTCGTTTCTTAAAGTATATGTCTCTGATAAGCGTAAGCCTTTGAATATCATCTCGATCTACCCATTTCCGCTGTCCTTTATTGTGTTGTTAGAAGGCGAACAGTCGCGGCCCGGTATTTATATTGAAAGCAAAAGAATTGAACTTGTACTCCGAAAAGTGTATAAGGAAGTCAAGTATGTGATGGCTAAAGACTGAGTTTAAAATTTGTATCATCAAGGAACTTTTAATATTTGATAGTTTTCCTTAAGAGCTATTCAGTCGGTTCAACTCTTTTTTTGTCTTTGATCTAACAAGACCTTAAAACACGCTTCAGTTTCCGTAATGACATCCTCATTTGATCAAAATCGTTCTTCCTAGAGAATTTTTTTGAGATTTACCAGCCACTAACTGATAACACGGACCAGATCTGGAGTATATGGTAATTGGGACAACAATTCGAACTTCACTTCGTATAACTTTACCACCGTAGGCATCGACTTGTCCCTATTGTCCAAATTTTTATCCCGAATTACGGTAAGACCGTTTTCCAATATTTTTAGGATGAAAGCTATGTGAATTGCACTTTTTCTCTAAGGATATATATAAGCTATGCGAATTGCACTGTTCTCGGAGAAGACTTGTTATTAATCAAAGTGCGATTAGAAATCAATTGTAAGATTTGACAGTGAACATCCAAGATGGAAGTTCTTAAAGTCCAAGTAAAAACTAAATGCAAGCTCTTGAAAAGAAAAGATCTTAAAAGATAATGTTTAGAATTAATTAAGAGAAGAAAGAAGATTTTAGCCCAAGCGATGAGTGCAAAATTCGTAAGTGTAAGCTAAAGAACTCACTTATTTATCGGTCGAGTAGATATCTCAGCTTTCCAAGTGCTGGGATCAAGCATATCTTGCACAATGTTCAATAGTCAAAAAAGCACATCAGACATGGTTTTAAAATCTAGTTTCTCACGCTTCTTGATTAATATCTAGGAGTAAAGCAATTAAAGACAGACTATTGAGAAATATTTTCAAGGTGTTTTTCACGTTTTCTGATATACCCACTACATTTGGGCATCCCTTGCGTTCGGTATGATTCCCTCCGACAATTTGTTGTTCCCAACAGAGAAGAAATTCCACAACACTTGTCAAGACAATAGTGATTTTGGATGGTATACTTTTTCATCAAAAAGCAATGTTTAATCAGTATTCGAGGTTAACATTTTTTTAATTTTTTGGAGAACCAAAAAAAGTAAGGTTAAGTATGAAATACCATTACAAAATCAACAAACAGCAAAATGGTCAGTGGAATTCAAAATACATTGAATTACATTGAAAAATATCGAACTATCCGATAAAAGTTATCGCTGTTCAATTAAACAATAATCTCCGTTACTGGAAAATTGGCATATAAAAGCATTCTTGCACACAAACATATTGTAAAATATTCCGGTAAACAAATGGGTAAATATATGTAAAACGGGAATCAATAAAGGTTTGTGTTTCTTTTTCAACTTTTAAAATCGGAACACGAGAGGGCGATTTTATTTAGTTTTTATTGCTATATATTTTTAAAAGTTGTGTTGATTGTTTGTGCAGGAAGGAAGAATCGAAAGATAAGCTATTTAAAGAGATGATTGCATCTTTACGTTTTTATTTTGCGATTACTTCTGCTAAGAGGGTGCTTGAAATGTGCCAAAACATTCTCTAAATCG